TAAGTGTTTGCCAACAATAGCAGAGAAAATGTATGTTTTTTTTCAGTGGACAAAGTTTTTGTTCGATATTTATGTCGGATTGATTGCGGCAATGCAAGAATAATACTTTTGGTCACTTTGGCTTAATAGATTAATTTTATTTTCATTTTTAATTTGTGTCAGAAGAACTTTTGGAACCCCAAGATATAACACATTTAATTGTGTAGCGCTCACCCCCGAAGGAGCCGCTGAATAACCGGATATTTCTATCCCCCTACACCAATGTACCGCCCAAATCGTGGATCCACAGCACACCAACACACCTTTGAATAGTTTTATGGCAGATTTAATGACAACACAAGATATGAAGGCAAATGAGGCAGTAGTAGACCCAACAATCACATAGAATAATATTTAGCAACAGGCTGAGGCACTCTGCAATTCAGTAACTGCAGCTATCTGCTGCCAGCACTGACTGTGTGAGAGGCTGTCTCAAAGCGTTTCCCTTGAAAGGGGTGTATGTGCCTTTAAGGTCTCCCTTTAACAATGTCCGACCCTCCCTAGACTACTGACCAGTAGTAATGTCCTAGGCTAGCCAACGTTACTGTAGTGCAGGTATGGAAAAAACCAGGGTGTCACTGTGGCCAAAGGCCTCTCACCACTCCTAAGGCCAATTGGAAGAGATGAAGTCTGCTAGCAGAAACCGGACGTTCCCTTTCTCTCAAGTCGACTCTTGCGAAGAGGGTGAAGTCATCTAGGTCCTTTGTAGGAGGTCTTCACTCTTCCAAGGTACTGGCAGTCGTCTCGGTCAGCTCACTCTGACTCCGCTCTCTCAGCTGGGCTGGCTGGGTCACCCCGGCGGCTGGCTCGGCCGTGCGACAAGGCCTCGATATCCTCGCGGCAACCGCGTCACTGGGCCTCACCTCAGGCACTCGATCGGAACCTTTTTGGCTCAGCAAACTAAACTCAGTCTCTCTATACACCGCTGCACAGAGCCTGTGTGTCCCTGTATGTCCACGGCGACCACACAGCTCTGTTGCACACAGTTTTAGCCCACACAGGGTTGCACCGATCTGTCCTCTTCAGATGGCTGTCCCAGACATAGCGCGTACAGCAGCCAACGCCCATAAAGGCCGTGACACACTGCACGCGAAGCCTTGCACAGCGAAGCAAAGCTATCCGGCACGGAGCTTTGCGTGCAGTGTGTGAGCTGAGTGCAGTCAGATGATTGACTGCACCTTCAGCCAATCGGCTCGTGCTTAACAACCGGCCAGACGTAGCATAGCGCTGGTTTACGCGCGCGAGCCGATTGGCTGAAGTTTAAATTGTTCATCTCGGCACGCTCAGCTCCGCGAGCTCTCGCCAGCTGAGGTGCCCAGGAGAAAATGACATGACACACTGCTCGCAAAGGCAGCCCGCCACCGCTCTGCGCTGCTTCGCCTGCAGTGTGTCACGGCCTTAAGTCTCCCCCTCTCTCCTGCACAGCCTCCTGGGAGTTGCAGTTTCAGAGAACATACTTGCAAATGTCCCTGTCTCTGCTCTGTACTCCAACCGCCATAAGTCTCCGACTCCAGGACACACAGAGGCAATTAACTGTTCGCAGTCAGAAACATGAATCACTGCAACAACACCTACCGGTATATATGTATATCTATAGGGGCTACATTTGTCAATCAATTTTTATTAAATAAATATAAGTTTGAAGGCTAACTTGTTAGCCTGGATTTGTGTGAGGAGTCTGCTCCTAAATCGCGCTTTTAAACCGAGCAGACAGGCTCACCTGGGTACGGCAAGCTTCAGCATGACCCTCCCACCCTTTGCCTTTTTTTCACAACATCATACTCAGAGTTTGCCCCCTTATTGGCATTGCTGTCCATCCGGACCATGGCACACCTCAGGTCAGTATGTTAGTTATTTCATCCTACATACAGGTCAAGTGGACTCTGTACACAAATATAAGGCTGTTCACTCTTTAAGAAAAACAATCAGGACTTTTCAAATCTGTGCTCTGAACCTTAGACACTAATTCACGTCTGTGAAATGGTCAGTAGCCTGAGTAATAAAAGAAGGGATTCAATATGATATTGGAATTCTGACAAACCTTTAAAAAAAAAAAATGATAATGAGTATAGAAAAGCTTACAACCTCTACTACACTTTTATTGTTTTCTGTAGTCCCAATGAAAAGTGAAGGGAAATCTCTCTATCAATAAAAAATGAATTTCTGACTATCAAAATCTTGAGGCAGTCCAGTGCAAAATGTAAAAAAGTTTAAATGTAACAAAACTATATGTAGTCCCCCCCCCCCAAAAAAAAAAATCGATACCAGACCCTTATCCTAAACAGGAGTCTCGTAAAGATTCTAAGGAGGACCCCAGGCTTTCATATCATAAGCCCCCTTATCCATCATAAGCTCCCTCCACATCAGGAACCTCCTTCACATCACAGTCTCCCCTTTAGCAAATCTTAAAGGCACCCCTGACAAAACCAGGAGGCACCCCAAAGTGCCATGAGGGTAGGGACTTTTTTTCTTTTTAAGTAAAGTGTGTGGTTTCTATTTACATTTTTTTTGTGAATGAGTAGGAGTACTATGTACCCCTTACCCATTCACATGGAGGGGGGGCAATGTTTGGGGGGCCTCCTTATTTTATAGGGGACTTCCAGATTCTGATCAGATTCACCCCCTGCACCATCGAGCCAGGGTTCAACATGGGGGCAAGGTTCTTTAACCACGTCCCCTCTGATAGTGTACCCTCCCTTTGTTGAGGGCATGTGTACTAGCATGGTTCAGGAGGGAGCACGCTTGTCCCTCTCCCCCCTTTTCTGGTCATCCAGGCAATCTGTTCAGATAAGAGTCTGGTATGAATTTTTATAAAAATTTTTTTTTTACATATCATCCACCACCCCACCCCTTTGTTACATTTAGTTGTCACCTACAATGGGCCGGTGGGGATGACCAACTGGTTGCTAGGACGACTCCTTAGCAACCAGCCTGAGCGGGAAGCTGTCACATTCAGCAGCGGTCACTTCCCGCCAGAGCTTTGGCGCAGCCAAACACCCATTTGGTTTGAATCTCAGACCAACCCTAGCTCTCATCCCTACTCATTAGCACTGTGAATGTTTTACATATGAACAGGGTACATTTATCAATAAAGTCCCCATAAAATTATCTTGCGCTATTTATTACTGAAAATTTGGGTTTGATAAAAAGTTAAACAAGCTAAAATTGTGCGACATAAAAAAATTGCAACTTCTACCATGTATTTACCAAGGTCGCTGCTTTCAGAAAGAATATCATTTTATGAAATTTTAGGTAACTCTACATGCCTAAAATGTGCATTTGACATGCGTGTGAAAAAAAAGAGAAGCTAAAATTGCTCTGGCAGTGAAAGGGTTAAAGAACTCCGGGCAAAGAAAAAACGTACCCTTTGCAGTGGGGCTGCCCCGGCAGTGCAGGGGTTAAGTGCTTGTGTTTAGCTTTAAATAAAGCTGTTTTAATTGCCTGATCCCGTGATGGTCGGCACTCACATAGGGGATTGGGGGAAGAGGCTGGAGGCAGGAGTGTCCCTAGCCTTTTTGCTGCCTGAGGCGGGGGGTGCTGGTCGTGCTTGCTAACGGGAGAGGAGGGGTAGCTAGAGCGGGGCCTCTGCATCACCTCTCCACCCAGTTCTGGCCTGCATCCCGCCCAGATGCTGGTAACCAGTGACATTATTGGGTGCTAGGAGCTGGGCAGGACACTGGCAAAAACGTCCCAGGTTGCTCCCGGGATGCTCTGGCCAGAAAGGGGGCAGCAGGCGGCACAATAAAAACATTGGGCAGCAGAGCGGTCATGCTGCTTTGCCTGCTGTCCCCCCATGTGACCTAAAGAGATGCCATCTGAGACAACAGCCTCAGGCTGCCTCATTATAGGCTGTTCCTGGCTGTAGGGACCGGTCCAGATGTTCAGGTAAACACAGCAGCTTACATAATGTCCCCTAGACAAAAGGAGCACTTAACCCTAAGCCTGGGTTCACACCTGACCGTTTTGTAGCGCGTTCTACGCTCGCCGAACGCTCTACAAAACGGTCAAAAAAATAAATAGCATTGTAGTCAATGCCCTCGTTCCCACCTAGGCGTATTTCCGCCCGTCCCTAACGCCCTACAAAACGGCCCAAAGTAGTCCCGGGACCTTTTCAGCCTGGGTTCACACCTGACCGTTTTGTAGCGCGTTCTACGCTCGCCGAACGCTCTACAAAACGGTCAAAAAAATAAATAGCATTGTAGTCAATGCCCTCGTTCCCACCTAGGCGTATTTCCGCCCGTCCCTAACGCCCTACAAAACGGCCCAAAGTAGTCCCGGGACCTTTTCAGCCTGGGTTCACACCTGACCGTTTTGTAGCGCGTTCTACGCTCGCCGAACGCTCTACAAAACGGTCAAAAAAATAAATAGCATTGTAGTCAATGCCCTCGTTCCCACCTAGGCGTATTTCCGCCCGTCCCTAACGCCCTACAAAACGGCCCAAAGTAGTCCCGGGACCTTTTCAGCCTGGGTTCACACCTGACCGTTTTGTAGCGCGTTCTACGCTCGCCGAACGCTCTACAAAACGGTCAAAAAAATAAATAGCATTGTAGTCAATGCCCTCGTTCCCACCTAGGCGTATTTCCGCCCGTCCCTAACGCCCTACAAAACGGCCCAAAGTAGTCCCGGGACCTTTTCAGGCGTGGGCCGTTTTGTAGGGCGTTTTCCATTGGGATACAGCCAAGTAGCCTTTGGAATCCGCGACGGTCGCGCGACAGACGCGCTTTTGCAATATGCCTATGTGTGAACCCAGGCTTACAGTGCAGGGGGAGCCCCACTGCCAGAGGGAGTTTTCTGCTTTAAATAATAGAATCTCTATTTGTACATTTCATAGACGGCATAAAATGCACGTCTACAGGGGAGCCGGGGTGTGTTCTTCTACAGGACACGTCTACAGGAGTGCAGTGGATGCCTCACTTCACCTGATAAGGGCTGGGGGCGGGGTCTGATGGGGGCGTGGTTTCTGCTCCTGCCTGGTTTCTGGCTTGTCATTCGCCATGGCTCCTCGCTGCAGCTGGTTGTGTCGCTTTCCTCGCAGAGCGCTGCTTGGCGGAATCCGCACCGTGCCAACCACAAGATGTCCGGGTGAGACAGGGAGACCCAGGGGGTGGTAACAGCACAGGAGACAGTTATAGACCTTCCCTATAGATGGGCAGAATGGGGTGACAGGGAGTAATATCTGGGCTCCCCGTGTCTGTTATCAGGGTGTCATTTTGGGGTCAGTACAGGGTACTGGCAGGAGAAGATGTCATGCACAGCCCTCCTCCTCATCATCATTCCAGGGTAGAGATGTCCTGGGGCTTGTTAGCACAGATCAGGTGAAGGGAGTTCTTCTTTTTACCATTCATTACAAAGAGCTTCAAGACATCCTGAGGATTCATCAGCTGTCATTACTGGTCTCTCTTTCTAAAGTTGTCTGGCTGTCATGCTGATCCAATGGCTTCACTGCATTCCATGTCATGACCTGAAACGTGCTAAGATCTGGTGTCACTTGCTGCCTATTTGTTTCAGTTCAATAACTGAGAAAGTATGGAAGCTGTTGGATCACAGTGACAGCCAGCCTGATAGCATTTTCAGAAGGAGATCAGCAATCCTCTGAATACATGGCTCCGTTCAGCAGAACCATGTCTTTATTTATATGTCTGGATGGGCTCACGTTGATGTGCGTTGTTTTCCTGCATTTGATATGTGTTTGGAATGCAGGTCAAACACAAGTCAGCACAATCCCATTGGTTTTATTTGTCCGGTATACATGACAGAAGCTGCACATTCATTTGAGTGGCACCTCAACACATCTCCCAGCCACCGAGCACTGTCATGCAGCACCAGAGAAGGTAGCACAGTACTGTGCGTTGGAAAAAAAGTAGTGCATGCAATACTTTTTTCACTGTACTGCTACACATGGTACTGCACGTTGAGCTGCATGATAGCGCATGGTGGCCGGACCCATTTACACTATTGCTCAATCCACATAGTGTGCATTACTGTGCGCAAGGTGCGTTGCTTTGCTTTTCATTTAAATGGCACCCCAATGCACTTCTCGGCCACCGAGCGCAGTCATGCAGCTCAACGTGCGGTACCGCAATACCACGTGTAGCGGTACAGTGAAAAATATTGCATGCACTACTCTTGCCCACTGCACCTCAGGGTATTGCGGTACCGCACGTTGTGCTTGGTGGCCGGGAGGTGCCATATAAACGAAGGGCATTTGTCTGATGAAGGAACCGCTGGGTTCCGAAACGTTGCATTAAGATGTTATACCACTTCAGCGAATAAGCGAGTTGAATGGAAATCGAATTGGAGTGCGAGTAGCTTTTTCGTTGTGTATAAACGAAGGGCAACGCAATGCACAGTAATACACACAAGGTGGATTGAGCGATAGTGTGCGTTAATTGCACCTTATTGTGTAATAAACACAAAGCAATGGTTTAAATGGGCCCTTAGTGTGTCTGAAGCCATAGGGGGAATTTAATTTAACTGGAGCAGACAGAATCTAGAGCCGTTGCCAATGGCAACCAATCAGCATCTCCCTTCAGTTTGTTCAGTTAAGCTTTGAAAATGAATGAGAGCGGCTGATTGGTTGCCATGCACAGCTGCTCCAGATTGTGTCTGCTCCAGTTTTGATAAATTCCCTTCATAATGTTTTGGATAGCATGCAGAGGGATTACAACGCATGGTAAGGAGACTCTTTCTCTCTGTCCCGGTGATCATTATCACTAGGAATGAGAGTGAGTGAACATCCCAAATGTTAAGCTTTCACCAGAGCAGGAATAGAGGCGAAGTCTTCCATTGGGGACACCACTTTGTGTGACAACTAAGAGCAGATTTCCCATAAGGCAGAACTGAAGCCAAAACCTTTTCTCAGTTTTGGATATAGTAAAGGAGCTTTATAACCCCTGTCAGCTTTTTTTTGCCATCTGTGTCCCATTGGGGAGATTTCCCTTCAGTTTCTGTCTGATAGACACCACAGGAAGTGGGAAGAAATCTTCCAAAGTGAAGGAAATCTCTAGTGTTCACCAGAACTAGTGTCCCCATTGGAAGATTTCTCATCTATTCCTGTTCTGGTGACAACACAAAATCTCCTTTTAGATTTACCAACAACTATGTAGTACGAGGGCCCGCCTGATCGGATAGATTAGGTATGAGCTCATATTCCTTAGTTTTGGTAAATCTAACGTTAGTTGTAACGTCTATGGTGACTCTTTGCAGGGATTTACTCCCACTTTTCATGACAGTCAGCATTCCAGGTAGAGAGATCTTACAGCTATCAATATAGAAGAAGCAGGGGATGGGCTCAGCCCACAGGATGCCAAGAATAGGCTAGAGGGGTTATAAAGTCCCAGCATATACTATTCTGCAAAAGGCAGGCTGTGTGAGAGTGGTGACAAAGGAAGTGCATATTGACAGGACTGAGTGAAATTGTGTCACTGGAAGTACACCCGTCACTAGGTAAGTTTACACCCTTCTAGATGGATGTGGTTATTAGGAGTGGGGTAGAACATATGGACATACAGATGTATTGTTAGTTTATGACCAGCATCACTGTTGGGTGGACGTGCGATGTCATGTGAAGGATCATGTAATCGTATTTCATTCATAGGAAGATTTTCCCCCCATATCGGATTGTTGGCTGGCGGTAGTTTCTCTGCCCTTTGCTCGGAGTCGGAGTGGAATAGTTCCGATCCCCTTGTGTAAATTGGGCTGACTTGTCGTCCATACATAAGATGGATGAGGCTGTCCCTGCCAATGGATTCCTATGCAGATGTTACGGGAATGATCCATATGGGGGGGTTTAGGACAGAAATGTGACTTATTCACAATTATTAATACTGGATTTAAAGTAGATGTGAACCCCACTGGATGAGATTAAAGGGTAATTCCACTTTCTCAGGCAGATGTCTGGAAAATGGAGTTACCGCCACCAATCTGCCCTGCAAAGTGGAATTTCCCTTTGAGGCCTCATTGACACGGGGACTTTGCTGCGTTTGGGGATTCCTGTGACAGGAATCCCAGGTGTCCCCCGTTCAGTGGTTGCATCTGTCAGCGGCAATCCGCCGTTTGAGATAGGCGACTGTCCCCAGACGCATCTATCGTACATCCAGGGACAATCATCTATCCTCGGACAGAGATAGAGATGTGGCCAGTGTACACATTCAAGTTAATGACAGGGGGACAGTGGTTGCATCTCTATCTCTGTCCAAGGATAGATGATTGTCCCTGGATGCAGGATAGATGCGTCCGGGGACAGTCGCCTATCTCAAACCGCATGTAATTGTATCACAAACGGTTACATGCGGACAGATGCGGCCGCTGTCACCCGGTCATGTACTTCAATGGAAACAGCGGTTGCATCTGAGCGGGACACCTGGGTTTCCTGCCACAGGAAACGGCTAAAATAGCGGCCCCTCGGGTTTGTATAAATGGCGCGGCTGCTGCAAATTTTAACCAGCATGTCACATTTGCCAGGCGGCACCACTTGTCAAACACAATCATTGCCATCAATGGGGCCCAAACACAACTGCACGGGTATGGCGGTTGTGCCATGGTGTGGCATTGCGGTATTGCAGTCGAAAAACCCCATCGAAATAAAACGTATTCAGGAGGCGGCGGTATCACTTCCTGAGCGCCGGGCAGCCGCCGCTCTAACGCTCTCTGAAAAGCGATCCTGCGTGAATCACATTTCAGAGGGGCGGTGAAACCTGCTGCCTGTCTGAACCGGGCCTTAGTTTGCTGAAGCACCGTGTATCATAAACAATTGTCTTTTTTCTGTTAGGAATTACTGAGGCTGATTGGCTGAAGGAGTCCCCTCCTTTTACATCTATGCGGTGCTGGAACACGCGCGGTACCTCAATGCAACAATGCACGTTACATTCGATGAAGCATTCATTTTTAATAGCACCCTATCGCACATGCATCATAGTGCGTTGTGGTAAATATTTTGTGACGTCCAATTGTTGGGATCATGATCTCAATGGGCTGACTTAATGCAACGCACAACAGTAATACATGTCACAGCGCACGTTAACACACGTCCAATAAAGCACGAATGTATATGGAGGGAGGATTCACTTCAGTTCTTCAATTGTGTCAAAAGAAAATTAATTTTTGTTTCATCTGCACATGGGTATTCAAAGCGATCACATTTACAATTTGAGTGAAGATTCTCAACTCCTTTAGTAGATCAACCCCTTTAAAAAAAAAAAAAAATGTGTCCTTAGTTGCATTTTAGGACTGCAGATCTCCTGCAGCCTTTTTAAAAGCCACTTCCTGTCTACATGCATGCACTCCTCGGAGGTTTCCTGTCCTTGCTCAGGGCAGGCTGCCTGATGGTGGCAGTGGTGACCCATGCCTGTGCAATGGACATTAACACCTCTCCACTGGAAGGGCATGTGACAGGGTGACAACACAGGAGAGCAGGGATAGAATGTTGTCACTGTATAACAGGAAGTGCCTAAAGACACAGGATCACAGGGTTATTATTTTATTGACATAGCGCAGGAAAAACACAGCATGGGAAGTGTGAGTGGTCCACAGTGATTGGGTTTACATCTACTATAAATGTGCTTGCAACATCTGTGTCCTTTTTTTGTTTACCAACATTATGAGTAATGTCTTTTTTTATATATGATTAAATCTAGTTCTGGGAAGAACTCTGACCTCAGCAACGCACCCGCTACAAATCTGCATTGTCGGCAGTGGTCCTGCTGGATTTTACACAGCTCAGCACCTGTTAAAGGTAAAAATGAACTGGTTTTATTTCATATGTGTACAAACCTTTGAACCGGTTCCCTTGTGTAGTTGATGAGCCCAACCAGGTCTGAAACTGAGCTCCTCTGCACCCGTAGGCTACATTGGACCAACTGGCCAATCAGCTGTGGCCTCTCTCTCTCTCCCTCTCTCTCTCTCCCTTCCTAACCGATAATGAGAATAGTTGCCAACTGTTCTCATAATTGATTATTATTGATTTAATCGATTAGTTGTTGCAGCCCTGGTGAGGAACACAGAGTATGTAGCCGGGATTTGTATTTTTCTATAGCTGGTGGTATTCTGTGTTGCTGGGATTTGTAATCATACAGCTTGGAATACGTGGCAGAACTACCAGAATCCATATGGGTTGCAGCTATGACTGGGCCCTGGCACTCCACCACTGTCCTAAAATCATTAGTCTGTATTGTTTTAGAAAAACTGTCACATGACACTAGAAAAGGTATCTTTTAATTGGTATTGGCGATTACTTGAGGAAAAGTATTGGTACTTGTACTCGTTCTTAAAAGAAAATGATATCCTTAATGCAGACTACTGCTGACCACATTTACTTCAATGGGTGCAGCGGCCACATCTGAATGCCACAGGTATTCATAGGTTCTCTCCGCACTTCTCCTTTAACATTCAGTGGAATGCACAGTTGCTGGCCTTGGGATTCTGGGTATCACAGTGTTAAAGTGGAAATCATTCTATTTTAGGCCACCAAGTAAACAACTCTTTTTCCTGTGGTCCATGTTTTTATTTCTCCCTGATACTAACGTGGCTTGTCATGTTGTGCTGGAGAAGCCTTTAGCGCTCGCAGCATCAGAAAGATAAAAGGAGCTTTGTTGGAAAGGACATGACCGTACCTTGCTTTTGTCACATCTGTGATATGTTGGCTACTATTTAATGAGTGCCGGTAGCGTAGCTCCAATTCAGGAGCCCGCAGCGGTTGCAGTGAAGTGGTGCAGGGAGCCAGATCAGCATAAAGTGGTGTAATCCGCTCTTACATATATGCTGGATGTGTCTGCCTTGCACTTGTCCTTTTTCTCCCCTCTATACATAACATCTGGACTGTAAATGTTTTGTTGTCTATGTAGTTGTGTGTCATACTATCACTGATTACATTTGCAGTGTTTTTCTCTTGCAGCATCACACACAGACAGTGGTGGACGTATATGAGAAACTTCCTGTCCCTTTTGGCTTGGTCCGTTTTGGGGTAGCACCAGATCATCCCGAAGTGAAGGTGAGCGGACTCTTGACAGTGTGCAGTATGAGAAAAGCTAGATAGTAAAGAACGTTGGTGTGTCTATAAAAACAAGTGATCAATGTGCCTGTTATTAATCTGCTTACAAGGTTAAAGAAGAACTCCAGTTATTTAAAATTTTAACTATTGCAGTGGGACTACCCAGCATTGCAAGGGTTAACCTTTTTGGTGTAGGGGTCGGGATTCAAAATATATTCTCACCTGATCCTTGGTCCCGTGACGTTGACCACTCCCCCCCCCCCCCCCCCCTCCTCCCCCCCATCTGCTTCAGCTGTAATTTGTCTCCCAGCGTCTAATTGTCTAACTCGGGTAAATGCACGGCATTAGACGTGATGATGTCAGCGGTCCTTAAAATGCCAGAGCCCAGGGGAAAAGAGGCTGTTGGGGCTGGTCTAGCAGCACTCAGGTAAGTATATATTTTTATTTCAGCCCCTAGACCAAGACAAGCACTTAACCTTTGCAGTGCGGGGGTAGCCCCACTAGAAGGGTTACATTTTTAGATTTCTGGATTCTTTAAAGTACTTGTAGCCTCTTCCCTGCTGGACTCCAGCGGTCTCAAGACCCATGAGGTCATCACGCCCATTCACGTGCATTGGACGTTCTGCTTTTGGATTGCAGAACACGCCCCCCTCTCCTACAAACGGGGCTCAACAAATCCCAGGTGCCAGGTTGCCAATCCGACTAGAAATTGTTTCCTTGCGCTTTTGTCAGCCTGTTCACTTTACTTCCATCTCTTCTCCTACCGCAATAACCCTGCCGTGCTCTTCCCCACTGCAGACTCACAGACTGTCAGCGTCTCTCCTCACAGGCCAAAATCGGCTGCAGATGTCTGTGTCAGAGGGGACACAGATTACTGTAGCCAATTACAACCTGTACGGAGAGACGCTGTGAGTATGCAATGGGGAAAAGCACGGCAGGGTTATTGCGGCAGCAGCGGTGATGAGAAAAGAAACGGGAGGTGCTGTTCCCCTGCCCGCTGCCTCCCCACCCTCTGCGTCCCTGCTGCTGGCCGCTATAGGTCTTCAATCCAGCGGCCGGCAGCAATAGCCAGCCTGCTATTCTCCCTAAGGCCCCTCCTCTGCTGATTGATGGCAGGCAGTGGGCGGGTGCAATAGCCACCCTACTATTGGCTACTTCAATTTAAAATAGCCAATAGCAGGCTGGCTATTGCTCCCGGCCACTGCCTGCTCTGTTTACATTCAGCTGCCCAGCTAAAGCTATTGAAGTGAAAAGGTGACACTAGGGGTCTAATAGACCCCTAATGCCACCGTAAAGAGAAATTGTCACTGCCAATAAGTAGAAAAAAAAAGTTAAATAAAAGAAAATTAAAGTCCCTGCCCCCTGCGAAAAAAAACCCTGGCTCCTAACTTTTTTGCTGGCTCCTGTATTCAAAGAAAATTTGTCAAGCCCTGTCCTAAAATACTATTCCTGATTTAGTGTTCTGAGAATTGGATCTCATTTCTGTTTAAGTAGAATACACAAAAGGTTAATATTTGAGAAACACAATAGGTACCATTTATATCCTCTGCCCATTCCCCTAATCTCTACAAGGCAACCTTGGCACTCCAGCTGTGGTGAAACTACAAATGCCATCATGCCTCTGCCTCTGAGAGTCATGCCTGTCGCTGCCAATGTTGCAATGCCACATGGGACTGAGCTGGAGTGCTAAAGTTACCTACTCCTGCCCTACTTAAAGTGGACCAGAGTATTAAGCTGCCCGTACGTTGAATTTTGTCAATGGAACTGGGTCACAAATTGTTGGCTGAGAAATGACTGCAGCCAGCCATCAGCTTGAGTCATTGTTTTTGTATTGTGACAGTGCCGGGTGCTGACTGTCTGAATACAATAGCCCAGCAGGGGAGATGACGTCCACTATCTGCTTTGCCAAAGCAATGCACACTGGGATTGCCTTGTCATTAGCAGAGCATTGCTGGGAAATCTCATCTGTAATCTCACAATATATCAGGGAAAGGAATTCTCCTCCCCTGAGATGATGTGCATGGTCACATGTAGGGATGCACGGATATATATGCCGCCAAAACATATCGGCCGAAAATGGCACTTTTGGCTAAATGCCGAAAGTGCCATTTTTGTGCCGATACATCGGCGCATCCCTGCTTTCTTTCCTCCCCGCTGGGCGCTGCTCTGTGTCCCACCGGGGAGGAGAGAAAGTGTGACAGCCAGCCGAGCGCTGCAGGAGGACAGCGATGTGAACGGCCGGCGTCCCTCCTCCCACACCGATCAGCCTCCTATCACAGTCCGGCAGAGCGGTGTGTAGGGGGAGAGAGCCGGCGCTGTCACAGGAGGCTGAGCTCTCCTCCTTGCACTGATCGCTCAGCCTCCTGTGACAGCGTGTCAGAGAGGAGAGCGAGGTACAAACACTCAGCCATCAGTGATCGCTGAGTGTTTGTACGTAATTGAGGGCATAGCATGTTGGCTATATCCTTATTTACAAATGAATGGGAGTGATCTACATCGCCTCCTGTTCATTCATAGTTGTGGATATAGTAACCATACTCTGTTCTCATGCTATCAATGAAGAGGAACACTCATAGAGGATTCTAAAATTAAAAAGTTTATAAAATATTAAAAATATTTGAAAAAATTAAAATAAACATTTTCGGTTTCGGCCTGACATTTTTTTTATTTCGGTTTTGAAATTTCCATTTCAATGCACCTCTAGTCACATGCCCTTGTCACATGTCTAGTCACATATGCCCGAAATCCAGGAAGTAAAAGGAGTAATCTGCCCTTAGTAAACATGACCACTGTGAGAAGACTGGGGAAGAAAAGAGAAATAAGGAATGCAAAGAATACAAAGCCGGCAATGATCTAGAAGTATGTGTTTGTAGGTTGTCATTACTAAACATTTCTAAAGGTGTGGTTGTTGTTATTTTAAAGATATGGGTAAAGGTCCACTTTGGTGTAATCTAACTCTTGAAGCAACACCTTTTTTTTTTTTCCCTCTAGCTTTGCATAGAGTAATCTCTCACATGATTTTCAGTGCTGCCTGTGACCCCACTGGGGAGATTTTTCTTAACTTCATGTGTGGTCAGCAGAACCACTGCTAAAACTCTCTCCAATGAGGACCTGAACAACAAAACTAACAGAGCTTATACTCTCTTCCCTTCTCAAACCAAAGCTGGAGAAGTTAGGGCTATAGTTGAAAGGGTTTTTCACAATGTATATGTCAGTTTGATCTTATCAGACAGTGGAGAACACAGTCATATCAGTCAATGCATTCTTGATGACAAATGCTGTGAGATGTTCAGGTTATACTGCTGCCTACGGGAGGATTGGACCCTGGCAAAGAAAAAAAACAGGCCTGTATAATCCCACCTACTACCAGCGTATCATTTATTTTCTTGTGTTCTAGGCGGATGGACATCTTTTCTTCAGCTATGAAGTGTTAAAGATTAACTATGTCTGAATATCGCTGGATTGAAAGTTGCAGGGATAGCCTAGAAGTGACCTCCTGGCACTGGGTTCTGTGTAGGGTATTTTCCAGACTCTGTTGTGATATAGGTTAGCTGCAGAGCCATTCCAGGTCTGGCAATGGTGGCATTGCATTAGCGCTTGCTCTGTCTCTTGAGGACTTCTGAAGACTCACTTTGTGAGTAGTCCGGCTTGGCCAATCAGTTGGAACTACCTCATTTTGTTAGGTCTCTGGGCACCTCCAGCCATCAAAACCTTGTCTCCTGCCAGCTGTGTGGGTTCTGCAGGTATCTGAGAAGGCTTTGCCTTGTACGCTTAGCCTTACATTGTCTTACTGCCATACGGCTGCAACATGTCTCACTCTAAACATGTGGTGGGCAACGGTCATACTGTTTTGGGTGTATTAGCTATCATTCCGATAATGGCTTCAGTGATGCATGCAGCATGCCTACTGATGGTGCCAATGATCGAGTCTATAACACCTTTGGAGTCCACCTTAGCTTCAGCAGGTCTGTCCTCTCAGCTGAGGTTTTTTACTTCAGTCACGAAAGACTTTATGGCCCAGACTACCCAGTTATTTGCTGACTGCAGAGGCCACAAACGCATTCCTGCACCTCGCCCTGCAGATTCTCTATCTGATTTACCCATGGTCTGGCGGACTTCTGAGCTATTGGCCACAGAGACTCTGTCAGATTCTTCAATCTTTGACGAAGGTGCTTGCCCCTGTGGAGTCTCCATCTACTGCTATCACTCCCAAATTTAAAGGAGATTGTTTCAGCATTTCTTATTAATCCAGTGTGCACCACTGTGAGATTAGAGGATCAGTCTGTTGCTTCTACTTTCCGGTCTTGGGTCCTTTTAAAGCTGCTAAGGTCTCAAAGACTTTTGCATTGCACCTGCTTTTCTAATTCTTTCTCTCTAGAGACTGGAAACACCCTCACAAGCTGTTTGTTCCTCCTTAGCACCTACTGGGAGATGCTTGGATCTCAAAGCTCTCAATGGCTTTATTTGAGCCCAGAAATTCTGCATGGAACCCACTAATTCTGTCATTGCTTCTGTGGACATTAAGTATGCCTAGCAATGCATAATGCTGCCACCACCATGCTTCACTATGGGTATGGTGTTCTTTTGGTGATGTGCAGTGTTGTTGTTGTGTGGGGTAGGGTGGAAAGATGGAAACCTTTTCTTACTAAGAAAAACATCCAAGCCTGGCTGCATTTTGCAAAGTGAGAGTTAGAGCAACATACATAATTTATTAGTTTCCATAAACATAATTAAATACAAAAAGGAAAGTATTAAAAAAGGCATTCCCTCAAAATTAGCCGAGCATTCTCCTGGAGACCATCAGATTATCAGCAACATCCATAGCATAGTTCATAAGACATATATATATATTATATTACACACACCAATCACAGCTGTATTCCAATATTCAACAATCAGTGAGGTGCTGTGGCCTAATTCTCTACACGTTTTGCCCCCCGAAGGGGACTTCCTCAGGAGGGAGGTGCTCTATAGTGATGGCCAATGGAGGGAAAGGAGAA